CGACGAGATATCAGCCGTCACCGGCGGCGACGATAGCGAGCGTTAACTATATGAAAGACGAAGGTGATTTTTCTCGGGCGGGGACAAACATTCGGAGCTGATAAGGGGAGTCCCATGCGGGCCGCGCGCGAAATCACCCGCGATGTTTCGCGCGATAACGCCGCGACTCCACCTATGTCGTATCAATGTTGCTCTCGCGTTATTAGAATTAATAGGAAATATCTAATCGCGCTTATCGCCGCACGGCACACTTGAGCGAGCGTTAATCGAGGGGGACAAAAAACACGAGACGGAAACCGACATCGCGAAGAGAGAACTGCGAGAACGTCTTTTCTGCGGGCGACGTTAACATCTCGGTGTTCGCAGTTCGTTTTACAATTTGGAAGGAAAAATGGGAAAACCCGGATTTTTTCCCCGAGTTTCCAAAACTTCCTAGTTCGTTTTAGCGTTTTTTTTTTTCAGATTTGACGGATAAGCTTCAGAAATAGGAATTCGAATTTGCCGTTCGCGTTCCCCCACGGCTGCGCTTTGCCCGCGTCGAACACCCGGCAAGGGTGCGCTACGGCAAGGTGCGGTGGTTGCACGCCGCGATTCACGGATTTACCTACCCCTCCTCCGCCCTTCTCATATATACACATGCTGTATAATAGTTCCCTCGGTCTATTTCGGCATGCTGTGTGCGGTAGGTTGTCGCTCGTAAATCAAACGGCCGCGTAGCGGAATAGTTTATTTTCCCGCCGAGAGCGCCATAAGCGTCGCGGCGCTGAGAATCATCGCGTCTTTCTTTCTCCCTTCTTCTTCACTCTTGTTCCTCTTCTTTCTTTCTTTCTTTCTCTCCTTCGTTCTTTCTTCTCTTCTCCCTCTCTCTTTTTCTTCGTTCGGTAAACCGTCGGAATTTCGGCTGACAAAGCGACGCGGGGATGACGAACTGGTCCCTGAACTTGAAAAGTGCACATGAGGTCGTGAGAGGGAAGGCGAGGTGAAGGGAAAGAAGAGGTATCAGGCGGAATAGAATGGAATATACGCCGTGTCCGGCGGCTGAGATTGTTCCTGGGAACAATGTACGCGTCGTCTACGACTTAATATCGTAGCAACGGCAAGAAAGCGAGCGTGATATCGCGACCGTAACCTTCGGCCGGCGGATACCGGGTCACCGCCGTACCTCAAAACAGAGAGGCACTTAACTTCTTTTTTGCGCCGTGAACCACTCTCCCGAACAATGTCTTCAGACACGCGTGCAAACTACAATTGTGAGAGCGACCAATTACAACCCCGAGACGCGGTTATTAAAAAAATTCTTATTCTTTCTCTCAACTACAAAGACACGTTGTAAACACGAACGATAAAGAACATCACAAAAGCTTGTAGGACCACGAGAGATTTTCACATATATGAAGTGAAAAGAATTGATCAAAGTGTGAGATGAAAACGTGAGATTTCTTAAGACAGTTCACGTAGAACAATGAAACTGTTTTGGTAAAGTGAAAAAATTATTTTGAAACAATTTTCCTTACGGATTATATGCTGATCACCTCACATATGTTGCTTTTCGCGTTATTTCGGTTCTTTTCACAGCCTTTTATAATTAATTATTTATCTTTATTTACCGTCAATTATTTTCTACTTAATTTCGCGCTAGACCTAAACAATTTACTCCTCTTCTTTTTATTGTATTTCTCTTCTCCTATGTCCTTCCTTTTCTCTCTTCTTTACCCCCTTTTCTCTCTATCTCTGTCTCTCTCTCTCTCTCTCTCTATAGTTTCTTCAATATATTTCTCTTAACTATATCTAACTCATCATTCCACAGCCTTCTTAGAACTAGGTATTCTTTAAATACTTTCTTTAAACAAATTATTTCGTAATAAAATCTTTAACCCACGCTTCCTACCCAAACGATTTAGTAGCAATTGCCAAATTTTGTTGTTACGAAATCCTTCTTTCGGTGCATCCACATGAATTCCCAAATTAAGCACCCCGCCTTGAGACCATCTCGAAACTGTTTTCCATCGTCGTAGGACTAAATATAGCAGTAAACCGGCAAAGTTTAATGAGAGAGGAACGGAAGGAAGAAGACGAGATGGAATATCGTGCGCTATTGTGGCTGCTAAATTTATCATCGTAAATTATATGTTACACACCGGGACGCGCTCACCTCGCCGTCACAATTACCTCCGTTGACCCTACACTCTGTCCGCTAATGATGAGCGACGCGATTCGACGGGAATCGACAGAGAGCGCGGTTTCTAATTTCACCGCGCAATGCATCCCGCCGTCGTGACGAATCTTTTATTCCTCTCTCTTTCTCCTGTTTCCCTTGAGTGCTTACGCGCGCAATCATAATCGCTCTCGCGCGATCACTCTGTCGGGTCTTTAGCGGTATCGCCCGGATCGCGTCCTCGTGCGATTCCGCCGAGACCCGAGAGTTACGATTAACGCTGTCGCAACACGACGACAATGCACGACGTGCAATAATTCACGGCAAGAGCGCGCACACGGCTGCGAAAACTGTTAAGATAGAGATTCAAACGCCCATCGCTAACCATCGCGGCCTCTCTCTCTCTCTCTCTCTCTCTCTCTCTGTCTCGTTTGCTCTCGTGCTCGAAGGTGACAGACCACCGTGAGCGTGAAACTGTAACCCAATGACCGGCGTCAGTGATTCTCAATCACGGCATCGAGAGAGAGAGAGAGAGAGAGAGAGAGATAGCTGATAATAACAGTCTTGCGAGAAATTCGATTTTGCGTCGATGTATTTTTCTCGTGCGATCGGAGTAAAAATGAGAAAAAAGAAGAAGAAACGCATGTCCGAGGGAATGAGTAATAAAAGTTATGTATCATTTTTGCGCGAGATGCGAACTCGTCGAAATCACGTAGCTACCTACCGGTTTTTCGACCCTTGTCCCCCCCTCCCCCTCCCTGGAAAGCGTGCCCGACGTTTAATCGACGTTACACCGATGATCGGCGCTACACCGATCGGCGGTCGTTATTATCGATTACCCGACCTCGCAATTACGTTACCGTTATAATCGGTAATTCGACGCGTTATTTCTCCTTTAAGCACGTACGCCACTCGTGTTTTGTTCTTAAAAATAATCTCTCTTTCCCTTCCTCCCTTTTTGCCCCTCGCGATATTTGTCTCTCGCCAATATTTGCAGATGAGAATAACATAGAGCGCGTCGAGCGTTCCGCCGTAGCGCGATATTCGATTAATCGGTCACGGATATCGTTTGCACGATAACGAACGGCGGTTCTGTTTAATCGAAGTATTTGCGGAATCACGACGGCACCGTTTTTCGCCGAAGGCCCGAACTTCCGGATAACGTGCCGCCGGACAAATGGAATTTCTCACGATATTCCGCGATCTCGCGCAAGCGGCAGCGGGAGGGAAGAATTCTATCGGCCTCTCTTTCTCTCTAACGCTCGACCTCGACCTTGAGTCTACTGAATTACGAGTGAGGACGTCGGATGCATATGCATTCCGCTTCTCTCCGAATGACGTCGGCGGCTCTTTGCGATACGTTGTCTCCGCGCTCATCTCCGGAGATATTCCCGGAACGTGGGTCATACCGCGCAGTGATACGATAGAGCGTTTTACGCCTCACAATTCCACGGCAATATCGCGCACTCTCGCGCGAGAGAGATAATGCACATACGAGACATCGTAAAATGCCTGACACGCGAGGCTCCGTTGGAAACGCGGGAAAAAAGGGGAGGGAAAAATAAAGAGAGAAGAAAACCGCGGCGGGCTTCGCGATTAGGCTCCTCCGGGGAAAAAGGCCGAGGCCTGAATACTCGAATACGCATTTTTGCGAAAACCGACGAGCAAAGGTCACGTGCGCCTTTCAACGCGATTAACGCAGAATGCCGGAATAATGTCTCGGCTGCATGCATTGCGCGTTTAGCGGCGAAGAAAAAAGCGGACGGACAGAGACCGATAGACAGACCGAATAGAATTCCAGCTTATCACGCGAGATCGCGCGGAATCGCGCGATGATAAATAAAACCTCTCGGTTCCACCTTCGGAGGAGGTCCCACCTTTGCCCGTCTTGCCGTAATGGAAAGTCTCTCCTTCTCCCGGGTTCTGCTCGCCGCGGTATTTACCGTGGCCGACAAATATCGAGAGGAGGTGTGCCGAGCAGCAGCCCCTCTCGACGAGAGGAAGAATAGTCTCCGTGCGATCTCTCTCGCCTTGCCGCCCATAAAAATGTCCCCTGAGCGCGAGCTCCTTTTTCTCTCTACTCCCTTTTTTTTCTATTTCACTCACTCACTCACTCTCTCTTTCTCCCTCCCTCCCTCTCTTGATTCGCACTCGACATTAAATCGTCTCGTATCGCGACGCGATCGCGTAAGGGACCATGGCACGAAGAAGGACAGAAACAAGGAGAGAATTCAGGCATTCGGGCGTCTCGCCAGGCAGAAGTAGAGACAGGAAGGGTAGCAGGCAGGGGTGCTTCTGTGTGTGTGTGTGTGTGTGTGCGTGTGTGTAGGGTGGACGACCCTTTGTTCGACAGCGCGCTCCCTCTTCCTCTGCGGAAAGAGAAAGAGAGCGAGCGAGCGAGAGATTGAAAGAGAGAGAAGGGGGTCGGGTCTTCCCTCCGAGCCTCGGCGGGGTCGAAGCGGCTCCTCTTCCTTCTCCGCCCTTTTAACATCTACACCCCCTAACTAACGCGCGTTGTGCACGAATGGGTCACGGAACAGGCCGGGGGTTCGGGGCCGAAATTTGATAGAGCGCGATGTAGCGCCGCTGCTAACGGGGGCAGGGGGGAAGTACCATCGTGCGATCGTTAAACGTGTCCCCCTTCGGCTATCGGGGGTTGAAACTCACCCCATCGGGGGCGATTCTTATCCGAAGAACTCGCGCTTGTTGTTCCGCCTGACAAATTGAATTCGGATGCAGATAACGGTCGCGGTTACGGCGAGGGGTGGGGGGAGTACGGGATATTGTTTCTTTCGTCGTCGTTAATTAACGGCCGTCTGACCGTCCGGTTGTTTGTTTGTTGCAGCGCACGCGGGGGGCTTGGAATTCACCATCGAGCCGCAGGACGTGGTGGTCGAGCATGGGGGCCCCGCCAGGTTGGACTGCGAGGCGAAGAGCGTGCTCGGAACGCCGAGCATACAGTGGCGGACGGACGACGGTCAGCTGATCACGTTTATCGCGGACACTTATCGGTAAAAAGCGTCATTATACGCCGCTGAGACAGAAACTGAAAGAGAGAGAGAGAGAAAGAGAGAGAGAGAGAGGGGGGGGGGGCACAGGAGATCGATTCTCCTTCTCCAGAGTTACCACAGACCTGGAAAACCGGGAAAACCTGAAAGAGCCGGAGAAAGATATAAAAAAAACCTGGAATTTTGAACTTTGCTTATAATTTTCTTAAAGAGATTCGAGTATTTGACCAAATATAAGATAAATCTGTTTATCTTATAATTACTTTAAATATTCTCAACTGTGTTCTTTTTTCCAATATTCATTCTTTTTGTTGGCCTGAATTCGCATTGTTATATCATGTTACTAAAGTTACGTTCTCAAGTTTGCGTTGCTCTCTTCTGTGATAATACAAGCTACCTTTCCGGCAATCCCTGCTTCTAAATTAAAATTTAAGATTAAAATTTAAGATTACATGTTGCTCATGGAAAATTCTCCACTGTCGTCTGGGAAACATGGAAAAGTTGCGGAAGTTCAAAATTCATTTTCTGTGGCAACCCCTCTTCCTCTTTCTCTCTTCTCTCTTTCTCTCTTTCTTTCGCTGGTTTCTCGCCATATCGCTTCCCAGCTGCAGATCTGACATGAGCTATCCCGAATTTTCATTTGTAGATCAAAACTAGGGAATGGATCCTTGTACATAAGTAACGTATACGCCGGTAGTGCAGAATTAACTGGGAGTTATCAGTGTTTAGCCTCCATAGATAATGTTGGAGCGATTGTCTCCCGGCCAGCCACGATCAAACTAGCAAGTTAGTATCTAGATCCAGATTTTTTAGTACGTAATCGTTTGAAGTATGTATAATCTGAGAAATACACGATGTCTTTCTTACGGGGGGGGGGGGGANTCAAATATTGCGTATATAAAGCGTAATCGCGCCTGCGGAATAAGCAAGCGCCTGGTATGATGTAAGAATCAACTTTCTTCAACTTTCCTCGAAGGTCTGCCCGGCTTCGAGAGGGAACCCCAGGACACGATGGTTTATGCAGGACAGATCGCGTATTTAAGTTGCGCCCTACCCGCTTCCTCGAGTTTATTGAAAGTACAATGGTTGAAGAACGAGCGTCCGTTGGTGCTCGATGCAAGTCGGATGACGATCTTGCCGTCAGGTACGAGCGTCGAGCGTGCGTCCCCGATGTTGCTTCGATCAATTAGACGGCTCGACCTTTTTGATCTGTCTCTCGCTGACCTCTTCTTCTCGCAGGCGCCCTGGAAATCGACGACGTTCAGTATGACGATATCGGCTCGTACAGATGTAACGCTAGCGGCTATGGCCAATCTAGACTGAGCAACAAAGCACAATTAGGATTATTGTCGAGTGACATCGGTGAGTCCCCTCGGTTTTACGAAGTAGGAACTCGGGGTAAGACTGGGAGAGAGAAAGGCGTGATAAAAACTAAATGAACGGTCTTAATTGAAATTTTTGTTAACACTTTTATTATCAGCGTTGATTAAACCCTGACCTTGTATAAAAATTAAGACCGAAAGAGGTAGAAACTGGAAAAACATCTCTTTAAAAAAAAAAAAACTTTAATTTCATTTTAACTCAAGGTTGAGGATGAGACGAAATGGTTGAAGGCAAAATGATTTCTGTCATCATTAACATATAATTATATAATTATATAATATATTTCTGTCATATTAACATATAAATCATAGATAAATTTTACTATCTTTTTTTTTCCTTTACGTCAAATCCTGCACGAGACTCACGTTTTCAGTGCTGATATTTATGATTCAGATCTTATATCGAAGATCGTCTTAAGTTCCCTCATTTTATTGCCTATGAAACACCCAAAAATGGGTGTTTCATAGCCAATGAAATGGCCTGTACAGTATCTTGAAGATGAACTTAAGACGGTTTTATAAGATTGACTATAAATACTGGTTTAGATAACATCGTACTACAAAAACGCAAACAAGTTATCTGACACGACATCAAATGATTCATAAAATGATATAAAATTTATTGGTTTTTATAAATTCCTTCGAACTTACGAAATATGTATCCCATGTTATTGTTCGTCACGGATAAGCACGTTGTCTCTCTTATACATGCAAATCCAAGTCTGTAGTTGCGTACTTATTTCCACATGGCGTTTTCCGTCTTGCCCCGAGTTCTCTTAAGATCCGGATACCTGTTAAAGAAGTGTGAAATGAAAAATCGTCATACCTGAATGTGTGTGTGCCTCGACTAATCGTGCAGATGAGGGATCTAACGCTCCGGTATTTATCGCACAACCCTTGCAACAAACGGCCATCGAAGGGTCCGACGTGACTCTCGAGTGTGCCGCCAATGGCTTTCCGAAGCCGACGATCTTGTGGCTCAAGGACGGCGTTGCTCTCGATCTGGCGTCACACGATTCCAGGTATCTGATAATTCCAGCGTTGCCATCCAGTCATTTAAGTCACTTCTTGCTACTTTTTCTCGACAAGTCACTAAAAAATTCAATAAAAAGCTCACTATTGTCCGAAATGGGCTACTATAACTACATTTTTTTTCCTGAGCTGCCGTTAAATTTATAAAATATAGGCGTTCTATTTTCTGCCGTCTCTCTCGATGAAACTGCTCCGAAAATATATTTATATCGTTTAAGCCTTTGGTCTTTCCTTACGAACTTTCAAATTGTACTACGAAAAAGAACTTGTTATATTTTATCCGCCTAAGAAGGTGAGATTCTTGCTGATAAATGGTTAGTTACTCTCAGATTTCGACAAAAGATTTTGATGCCTGAGAGATCATTTTTTTTGCCAAGAAGCAGTCGCTACTTCACTTTTTTTTAATTTCCTTGACTGAATGGCAGCGCTGGGTAATTCGGGACGCCGGCTCGGCCGGCATGTGAGCGCGGATATTAACGATCAATATATCCCCCCCAAGATATCGGAAAGTCGCAGCTTCTAGTCTCACGATCATGAACGTCCGAGAATCCGACCACGGTTCGTACCAGTGTCGCGCGGAGAACACGGTCGAGTCTTTGGATGCGGTCGCCGAGCTGATTGTGCAAGGTGAGCCATCGCGGCGCGCGTTGTAGAAAATTATTCAGGCGTCCCGAATTAGCCAGTCGGTGCTTTATTCTCTGCAAAATCGATCCTCAGTTCCGCCGACGTTCACGAAGAAGCCGGAGGACAAGGTGGCGAGTGAGAACCAAGATTTAGAGTTCGAGTGCGAGATCTACGGGAAACCGGAGCCGAAGATCACTTGGTTGAAGAACGGCGAGCGCATCACGCTGAGCGCGTATTGGCAGATCGTCAATGGGTATGTGTGGGCCTGCCGCTGCGATCCCGCGTCTTGCGGAAGTAATCTCGCGATCTCGCCCCCGAAGGAGCAGCGCGCAAACGTTATAAATAAAGATCCCGGCTTCTCTCCGTTCGCAGAAACAATCTGAGAATCAACGGGCTGTTGCCGATAGACGCGGGCATCTTCCAGTGCATCGGAGTGAATCCTGCTGGCAGCGTCCAAGCGTCAGCGCGTCTCACGATCAATCAGCCCAGTGAGTTTCACGACGACGAGACGATTACGGCGCGTTCCTCGCTGATATTCTCTTTGGGCGATCATTCTTTTCAAGCACCGATATAACCGGCGTCTCTCGTTTCTTTATATTTGTCTTGCGTGCATATTTATATATATATATATATTTTTTTTTTCCGTATACATTTCGTTATACTTATACATCCGTTTCTCTCGTATATTGATTTAAGTTGTTAATTTTGTCTTTATTTATTTTCTCCCCTCTCGCGCTCCCTGCCGATTAACTTGTTCTGCATGCTAACGTCGCGTATGCAGAGAGACCGAGCATCCACCGAACGACCACTCCGAAGACAGTCCCTAAGAAAAAACTGCTGCTGCACCGGCAATTGTACAATAAGACCTGGCAACACCCGAGCACGCTCTTAGGCCACACGTCGTCACTCACGCCGAATCCCTCGCTCTCCATCAGTCCCTCCGACGGTCCCTCAGACCTCCCGGGCTCGGCTAAATATCCTAATCCCCTATACGACCCGACCTCCCATTTTGTAGATGACACAGATACTCTGGAGGCGTTCGATGGAGGTGTACCGTCCCCGCCGAGGAACCTGAGCCTCGTGATCGTTACCGCGAGATTCGTCACACTACGCTGGCAAGAGCCGGAGAATACGAACAGCGATTCCCTCAATTATTTCATCCATTACAAACAGGAAGGGGGTGTGAGGTAATTACGAGTTGCCTCCGAGGTGAATGGAAGTACACGCGTAATAGAACGAGCAGAAATGCGCGAGTGAAGACGCGCGGAATGCAAATTTGTATAATGAGACAGAAACGCGAATAGATTTGCACGACGAATTTCTTTCCGCTTTTCCCACTCGTTTCTGTAGATCCTCCCTCCGGTGTTCACTCTATTGTGCGTGCATTTCTATGCGCCTCGAAATGAATCTGTGTACGGAACGGGTTTCTAATTGATCGTCATTCGCCCGCTCGCTCGCAGAGAGAGAGTCGTCAACACACAACAGAAGGAGGCGATGATACGTGGTTTACAGCCGAGTATGGCGTATCAGTTCCATGTTGTTGCGCAGAGCGCTCGAGGAACCAGCGCGCCCAGTGAAGTATTACAAGTTACAACGCTGATAGAGGTTAGCTCGTGATGATATCCTTGGTAAAAATGACCACGGGATTCGTCTTAATTTGTCTACCGAATAAATACTTAATCTCCCGCAGGCGAATGTTCCTGGACCTCCGATGAATTTGGAGGGTCACGCAACGAGTAGCATGAGTATTACCTTGTCATGGGAGGAGCCACAAATTATTAACGGTCGAATATCTAAATATATTATTACGTTTAATGAGGTACGTGATTGCGATTGTTGCGTTAATTCCTCGATACTGTGTGTAAACGTTGAATTGTTACGACGCAACGGACGGACCGATTCAATTTGGTTCAATTGTCGCTCGTGTCGCCAGGTCGAGAAGGAGGTCGAAAAGGAGGAAGTAATGCGTGAAACTACTAGTACAACGTACGAATTGGTAGATCTCGTGCCTTATAAGGATTACAGTATTAGGGTTCAAGCGGTTAACGAGAATGGTCCAGGCGCGTTTAGCAAAAATATCGTGATTCGGACTCACAGCGCACCACCCACCCAACCACCGCACAATGTTACATTAGAAGCAGCTAGTTCAACGGTACGTACCCCTTGCGACAAGAGCAAGGTCTGATTCCGAGGGCAGATGTTGTCTCCGAGGAAAATCTCGTCTTCCGGCCTGAAATTGTCACGTGTACCTTGCAGAGTATTATTGTAAGATGGGAGCCTCCGCGTGAGGGACAGAACGGGATTATCACGGGCTATCGGATCCGTTATCGCAGATATCCGCACGACCGACGAACCCCGATTACGGTGACGACTGAAGGAAATCAACGTTTGTATGTACTCAATGGGCTCGAGAAGCACGTGGTGTACCAAGTTCGCATATGTGCCTTCAATGTCAATGGGACTGGGCCTTGGACCGAATGGACAAAGATAGAAACATATGAGAACGACTTGGACGAGACGAAAGTACCCAACGCACCCAGTAATCTGAAAGGTAAGGGATCCCGACGATGTAAGAGACATCCCCCCCCCCCTAGGCTGGTGTTCATAGTCAGATCTTATATTTGAGATCGTCAGATGCTTTGTAGCAGATGAAACGATTCGTGCAGCATGAAGATGAACTTAGGACGACCTTAAACATAAGATACAATTATGAACTCTCTCAGTTATATACCCGTCACAGAACGTCTCTGTTTGCAGCGAACGCTGTGGGAGATTCCATAGTGGTGACGTGGCATCCGCCGAAAGATCAGAGCATAAAAATAAGGAAGTATAAATTAGGTTGGGGCAAAGGGTATCCCGATGTTGACATAGAGGTTCTTGATGGAAAGCAACGATCCTTCGCTATCACTCCTATAGGTAAGGGCACGTTCACGCGAGGCACGATTGTGAAACGTCCAAACCGTTTCATCATCCGTTTTTCTTCCTCCCGATTTAGAGCCGACAACGGAGTACGTAATATCACTAAGGGCAACGAATAACGTCGGCGACGGTGAGCAAGCATACGCGAATGTAAGGACCCCCGAACGTTTCGTATCTGAATCTGCAGTGCCTTTAATACCACCCGTTGGCCTTAAAGCTATCGTGCTCTCGGCCACTACCGTTGTATTATATTGGACCGACACGACTTTATCAAAGAGCCAGGTACGTTTATTCGCGTCTTTCCCGCGCTATTACGAGACCTTGCCGGATGACGTGCGGCAAAATGTCAAGCAGAAAAATCTATCACGGGAGCGACATTTATTTTCAGTATGTCACCGATAATCGGTACTACGTGGTGCGTTATATGGCCTACCATCACACCACCAGTTCTAGGTACAAGTATTACAACGCCACCGACTTGAACTGTATGATTCACGACTTGAGGCCCAACACGCAGTACGAATTCACGGTCAAATTGGTGAAGGTAATAGAGCGGAAACGGATTATACTCTCGCGTCGGAGGGGGTGAATGCAAGCTACAGGGCGAATTATTTCCGCAGGGTAAACGGAGCTCTCCGTGGAGCATGATCGTTCTAAATCAGACTCAAGAAGCCGCGCCCAGTACCGCACCTCGAGATCTAACTATCCAAACTATCGAAGATCGCCCGACCTCCGTCCTCTTGCGGTGGCAACCTCCCAAGCAACCTAACGGATTGATCACGGGTTAGTGTGCTTGTTTTAGAAGTCGTTTTCTGCATGAGATCGTTGAAATTTGCTTTCAAGAGAGAGAGAGAGAGAGAACGACGAGTCCTGATTTCCCGATTTTCAGGATACCTCATCATTTATTCCACCGACAACACGAAGTGGGATCGTGATTGGTTGGTCGAGGGTGTCGTCGGCGACAAGGTGGACGCCGTCATAAAGAGCCTGCATCCTAACACGATGTACTACTTCAAGATCCAAGCTCGTAACTCCAAGGGATACGGGCCGTTCTGCACGACGGTGTCGTTTAAAACGCCGCAAAGTGAGTGGTCGGATTTTTATTCTAAATTTCGTATCGTCGTTGGTCATGAGAAATTTGTTATTTTTATACGATACGTACTATATATACATATTATATATACATACATACGTGATACAATGTCTGTATTAATCCGATTGTATATACGCGAAATACCGTCTGTACATACATACAATATGTTATTTTAATGCTTTATGTGCATTTTGCAGTTTGTTGTTTGTTCACGAATCTCGTTGTGTTAATTATTATGTTTATTTTTATCCCTATGGTAGGCAATGGCATGGATATCTATGATGAATTGCATGGTCGAGGTAAGACATACATATCAGGCTCTGTCCTTTCACTGCAATTACGCATGTTTTTCTTCGAGCATGTCTTGTAGCATCGTGACATTGTCGCGACACTGACACTTATGTGACAGTCTTTCTTAAATATGTAAGAATTACATACACACGGATTACAATTCTCTTGTATTTGATGTCTTTACTAACGTTATTTTTATAAGAAGCAACGAATGGCGCTCGAACTTAACTTGATCTTGGAGATGCAAAAAATCTAGTAGAAATAAACTTTAAAGTATAATTTTATTTTTACGTTCACGATCTCCTTCCAGATGGACGAGGCCTCTCAAATATACTGATTTATATCATAGTGGGTTGCTCCATCGTCTTTACCACTGGTATAGCGGTAGTGGTCGTTGTGATGTGCTGCAAACGTAATCCGAACTCACCGGACCGAAAGAAAGGGTACGATCAGTCACTTAGTCGACAGATACTCTTAAGGAGGTCGTTAGGTTCGGTGTTGTAGGTTTCAGTGGAACATTAAGGGGGCCGCTCATAAATTTAGTATTTATCCAGTAAAATACGAAATATGAATATCTGAAATATGTGTATAATGTCTGCATATTAGTCTTTAATATCATAGTAGTTTTCGTCAAAATCTTATTTTCAGTTTAGAAGGTTTCAAAAATAGAAATTGAAAATAACACGCTAATCTCAATGAATACGTAAAAAAGTCAACTTGCAAAACTTGCTCGGCTCGCGAAGAGTCGATCTCTTCCTAATCGTAAAAGCAGTTAGACAATATTTCAGTGTATACATAGTGCAAGTTTAATCGAATTCTTATCACACATTTCGCCTTACAATCTCTTTAATCATAGCAAACGTGCAATGACATCAATAAATATTGCCATATTCAATGATATGTATCAATAATTTGTCCATTCTTTCTTCAGGTACATGAAAGACTCGAATCAAAAGACGAATATCAAGCCGCCGGACTTGTGGATTCATCATGACCAAATGGAGCTCAAGGCGCTTGAGAAATCGTCGTTGAACGGTGAAGCGTCTACCAGCGGTGTCACCAGCAACACGTTGCCCAGGTCGGGCAATTCGGAATATAATCAGGATAACGTGCACGGGAACTCCAGTTCGCTGGACAAGCGTACTTACGTGCCAAGCTACATGGGTAAGTCGTGCGATGTCACGGCAAGCGGTATAAATATCCATCCTCGCATTGTCACAGATCAGACTACCTCGCTCCTTGAGACACTCTAGTGGAACTGACAGCGATCCGTTTTGTTAATTTGCTTAATCGAGGGCAACACGACTTCTTTATCGTGCACATTTTTGTGATTTTCGCTGAGATTAGTTTTTCAGTTGACACACACACACGCACACACACGCGCACGCACACAGTGCATTGAGAGGAAAGAGAAAGGGAAAGAGAGAGAGAGAGAGAGAGAGAGAGAGACAATTTATACGTTTGATTTGCAGTTATTTGCCGCTTTTGTTATTTGGTTGCTTTTCCACCCATGTCTCATTAGGTAACACTGACGAGAAGTGCTCGACCCTGAGCAGGCAACACAGTCGTGGGAGTCACAAACCTAAACTAATTTCACTTCCCGTTGACAGTACACCTTTACATCAACGTAAGTAGCAGTGGGGTTGCCAGTCGTAACCACCGCACCACATTACTCGTAGTCACGCTTGTTTACACGCTTCTACGTAGAGCATTTGTCGAAACCGGTCAGTTTGCAAAACGATACTTTCACACGTACGATAGAAGACGCACGATGCATTGTTAACGGTCGTTCTCTTAATGTAGGTATCAGAGTTTTTTTAACTTATTGCAGCTATAGCTACCGCCACTCCGATCGTCAATACCAGCATGTCGCAGCCGACCATCCACAGTGCGTGCAGCGACACGTCGTCGATCAGGCAAAACTATCCGCGAACGGTCGCGCAATACAGTTTGAGCCGCGCGCACGTCACGCTGGAACCCACGCCGGAATCGAGTCCAGATTCCTGCAACATGCCGAATTCGTACGAACCACTGCAGAGTCAGGTGAGATTCCTGCGATTTTCTCTCACAAAGGGCCGGTTCATCGTCAATTTCAAGGAAAGTCAAACTTCCCGAGACAAGAAAATACAGAAAATTATTAACACGTTAACTGCCACGCGCATTTCGGAGGAAATCTTTGTCAGGCCACGCGCGCTGCTTAGAAGTGCGCTGGTATTGTGGTATAGCAATGCCAAGCGCAATAAAGCTTCAATAAAATCCATTAAAATTTTTTGATAAGAAATATTTAAATACATTAACGATACGATCTTGAAATTACTTAAAATTTATTAAAACTATGAAATTTTTTTAGTTTTATATCGTATTTTATACTGTCAGTCGCCGGTGACTGACGCAACCCGAACGGAAAGTTCAGTGTCAGTCACTGGTGACTGACATGGCAGTTAACGTATTAATATAGCAAAAAAACAATAATAAAGGAAATGATTAATATATGAAGAAAATAAAGGAAGGAAATATCAAAGTATTAGGAATGACATGTCGTTTCCTCGTTTCGCAGTTGTCATATGGCACCGGCGGCCAGTCGTACAGCGGAAATACTCAATATGGCCCCGGCCATTACGGGAACAGTAATCAACCAATGAGCAACACCGTCGGTGTGGAGAGCAACAGCAGTAAGCGATTGCAAGGGCATCCTCTTAAGAGCTTCAGCGTACCGGCGCCGCCGCCACAGAGCGCCCCTTCGACGCCAGCGCAACAGAAGCACGGTGGTGGGTATCGTCGTCAATTATTCGCACTCTCTGTATCTGACCTCTTCTCGACGACCACTTTGTTCCTCGTGACTGCAGTGTCGCAAGTGACGGTGAGGCCAACGATGTCCGGCAGCCCGTACAAGAAGCCGCAAAGCTCGACGTCGCAATTAGCAAAGAATCGCTTAGCTTCCGTGTCGAATCCGGCACACACCTCGGAGGAAGTCGAACGGTTAAAGGTAAAGGAGCCACAATTTACTCTTCCATTCTGTCCGCGGGTTCGTTCGTCTTGAACGGTTTGATTGGACGGTCACTTTGGTGGGATTGCTGATACGAAACCTCGTTGCGATTTTACAGCCTTCGTATAGCACTGAAGAATTGAATCAGGAGATGGCCAACCTGGAGGGTCTCATGAAAGATTTGAACGCCATAACAGCATCGGAATTCGAATGCTAAAGTAGGTTCCTAAGCCGTGTGCCATCCTAATTGATGGATAGACTGCAACGCCACATTCTCAATGTTAGTACCTGAGAGGTAAACCAATTTATACGAAAGCTTCGGCTGTCGTACCGTGTTTATTTTCCATTTTTTTCTGGCAATCTTCAGTTCGATCGTCATTCGTCAGCGTTGCGCCTCACGCCAAGGAACCGACGTCGCGCTAAGTCAATTAGCGCCGATGAACGGCGCAATTGACGGCCGGCTCGAAATTTGTGAAACGAAAGGACGACGAGACCGTGGGGCTCGTCGTCGTCGATCATTCCGGGTCCGATTGACGTTTCCTCTCTCTCTCCGGTACTAGCGTTGCTTATTTCGAGCGCGAGACTCAAAGCTACATACACTGGCCAATATAATTCCGACGGCGTCCTCGCGCGTTCTCGCAGCGTATTTTTGATAACGCGAGCGCGAGGTTGCATCACCGCGTTGCGCGGTCGCGTTTGGCGATGCGCGCACCACGTTGTAGAAACGTTTACACGGTATGTAGCCGCGCGTATGTGTGTATATGTATGTGTGTGTGTGTGTGTGAGAGAGAGAGTGTGTGCTAGGCGCGACACTGCTGACCGGGACGCGAATCGACCGATCGCAGCGTGTTTCTACGATGCGTGAGAGTCAGTGTGCAATTGGTTCCGATACGGTTTGGGACTCGGCCGACGGCCCGCTGAGCGAACTCAACTCCTGGGGAACGAACGAAATCGTCCGAGCCGTATCGGAACGCCAAGTGTACGGCATGGATCGGGTCGCAGGCGCAAGAAGCGAGAGAACGTGACGTTCTTCTCCGACATCCTCCGACATGAAAGTCTTTGATAAATCGTGCTTTGGTTAATGCGTGCGTTCGTCGGGAGCAGCGGTCTTTGCCTAAACGAAGAAGAAGAAGACGGAAGAAGGGAGGGAAGGGGGAAAATATTTGTACTGTGTGCGCGCATACTGTGTGTGAGTCCCCAGCGAAAAAGTTCATGCGTCGCTGTCCCGTTGCTATTCTCGTAATTCATATTTGTATAATCGTATTCTCTTCTTCTCATCGTTGCGCGCTAATGATTGCCATATTTACGCTTAAAGAGATGCGCAGCGCGCGTGAGCCGAGTTCGGTCGAGTGAGTTTTTACGGTCCAAGCTGGAGGGTGAGGAATGAACATATACATATATACATTATATACATATGTGTATATATTACCGTTCTATATTTTTGTAGTTTTTGGAAATCGGTTCGGGCGAATCTAAGTACTTTGTTGCACGGTCTTACATTATTCGAGTTTCGAGGCTCGACCATTTCCATTCTCCGCGACATTGCTTTGCTCGAGAAGGAGGATAAATTCGGTATCGATCGGCGGGATGTCTTGAACCCGAAATTGTGACGACTCGTTCGTTCGTTCGTTCGACGCGACGTCATTCCGTTTTGCACTTCTTGAGGATCGTAAAAAGTGTTTCCGTGGTTTCACCTCGATGATGACGGCCTCGATGAGAGACGTTTCATGTTCAGTTGTCCTGCACAATCCAACGTCCTTGGCAGCTCGCCTTGACTTGAGGATAGTTTCGTGCGCGTGTCCTTTGTTGAAGCAACCACCTAGTATTACGATCTCATCGGAAGAAAAAAATATTTTAGAGTTAACGCTGGTAATATCGAGTATATATATATGTATATGCATATATACACACACACACACACACACACATATATATATATATATATGGATATTACAATAGGTTGTTACGATAGTTTAGCGTAACGGAGTCAACGGTCAGCTTTCTTTGCAGATCAGTCGCGAAACTGTGTCGATGATGCGACAACTTCGGTCGATCCCGCCGGATTTACAAACGCGCCCGCGTTTTATCCGGCCGATCTACCGCCTTTGTTTCTATCCATAGCTGATCTATTTCTATCAGTAACAGTAAATATTGCGTTATCGGCATATGCGGTCAATTCTTGAAGGAAGCGGATTTTCACTTCTCTCCACGAGTCGCGATCTCGCGCGCGCGCGAGGCGAAGTATTATACCGATAAAAGTTGTATACAAATATTTTTAGTGGGATATACATACTTTGTATGGATTTGTATTTTACTTATTCGGGTGCACGGTCGCGGGAGAGAAAGATAGTATATGCGTGTGCGCTGCGTATATGCATGTGTGCATGCGTGTGCCTGCGAGAGAGAGAGAGAGGGAGGGGGCAGTTCTTAGAAAAATTTTATAAACTTAACGCAATGCTCAATTTACCGCTATCGGGGGGAATCGTCGAGATATACGTATATATATCTAATATTTCTATTCCGAACATTTTATATAGAACCACTTACTGCCACACGATAATGCATATCCGTCAAAGTACATACTTACATACACACATACACGTTTCCTTCCAATGCTGATGACTCTCTCCTTATTCCGTCGGAGGAGCGTCGGAAGCGCGAAACGCGCGGATACTTCAATTTTTCAGATCGACATGTTATAACGTAATCGTGTCATTTTAACAACATCGCCGCAAGGAGGTCGAAGTATGCTTTTATGTAGAACTTGGAATTGTACTCAACCACCTTTTGAGATACTTTTGTATTTTCCTAGCTATCCGAGTATTGTACAAAGCTCTTGTATATTAAGGACGTAGCGCGGTGTGCGATTTGACTGTGACTCGAGCGACACAAATCCGGTTTCCGGTCGAGAGTCCGCCGATTGGCGGCTTCGAAAGCCGCGACGCCTCCTTGGCCGACGTAGCGAGTGTACGATCGATTTTACGGCGCGGCTCGCGATCAACCTCGCGTTTGTCTCGCTCGAGGCAGCCCGGACGGCACCGCCCACGTAGTAGCGCGTATTTCAGCGGCCACTGCGAAGTAACAAGTGATACTCTCTCTCTTAGCACAAACGCTGTCAAATTGTAAAACGAATATTCGCAAATCGGGAGGGCGGAGGGGAGCCGAGGGAAAACAATCTTTTTGTACCATAATCCGGAGTATTGCGTATTACTTGCCAGTGATAGTACATAGATATAATATATATACCGCCCAATACAACAGATTTATATATACGGAGGATGAATGGGTTCTTTCGTTGTCGGCTCAGCTTGATGAGAAACAATACCGCGGGGATGAATCGGCTCGTTCTTCGGCTGTCGACGTTCGGTGACGCTCCGTCCACCGAGCGATGCGACATTATTATTATTGTTTTGTAAGTTTACTTTTATAAAGAGAATGCGTTTATTTATGTATGTGTGTGTGTGTGTGTGTGTGTGTGTGTGTGTGTGTGTGTGTGTGTGTGTGTGTGTGTGTGTGCGCGCGATATATGTGTGTATGAACGCGCGATATGTGATTTTTTTTGTTTTTTTCCCCCTCCGTTCGACACGTCGTCGCTTTGTAACACATTGTTGTTTTTACGTTGACGGTTTCTGACTTTATGCAGAAGGCTTTCATAATAGAGAGAGAGAGAGAGAGAGAGAGAGAGAGAGAGAGAGAGAGATGTGAGCTATACTGATAAAGAGAACAGCTCGTACATTAAGTATATACACATACATACATACATACATACATATGTGTGTGTGTGTGTATATGTATGAAAGTTGTATCTATTGCGCTGTTGAAAAGAGCGACAGGTACTTTTAATTGAAAGACAGGCCTATGGAAGGCCTGTGGAAATATTTTATCACAAAAGTATAATTAACGTATATAGTTAATATAGCATATATTTATCTATATATAATTGACATTATTTATTGATTTCTACGTACGACGGGTCTATCGGATACGGATATGTAAGTGTGAGAACGTTAACCAGTTAAGTGTGTTTGACGACTATATCCGTCATGGAGATGTGGCAGAATCTTGTGTCATGACGACTATATCCGTCATGCGTAAAATTTTGTTACAATTTGATATTTAAATTGTAATTCTGGCGAAAACTAAATTATATTCGTAAATTTTAATATAGGTAAAATGTTTAGAGGTCAAGACGAAATGAAACAAACAAATGAAAATTATAAATAATTTCAGTTGGATTTATAACTTCCTGAGAGCTAACTCGCTTGATTATCGCGACACACACTGGTGGGCGCTTTGCAAAGAGATCGCCACAGTTAACTGGTTAAGAGGCTAGTTTGCATTCGATCGTTATCGTCAACACGTTCTTGCTCTTATTATTCATCAACGAATCCATCATCCGTATTAGCGCGTTTAAATTCGTAGATAAATAAATTATTTAGTATTAGCACTTTCAATTCAACGGTAATTGTGACGAAACGAGAAAAAAAAGAACGACCGGCTTATCGATGTACATAAATTAAAAGGAAAAAGTAAGAAAAAAAAGAAACACAGACATCGCAACTTTATATAAGATGATCGAGTATTTATATATATATATATACATAGCCATTATTGAATATAATTCTTATATTTGTACGATATACGACATAAGGAAAAGCCCGCCCCGAGACGAAACATTCATAACAAGTGTGTGATAATATTTGTAAAACTTGATATTCAATAAACAATTTTATGTTCTTTATAAAATACGCGTCGGCGCTTGTTGTCCTGTCGCTTTCAGCGTAAGAATCACTTGATCCTTCGTAAAATATTGTATATGTAATTACAACAAAATGTTTTTTTGATTTGTCTACGAGTCGTACTAGTCGAAAAGCGGTCCGACGGATTTATCATCGAGCCATATCACTAGCACGAATTTTCGTTTAGTACCGTGGCGACTCGTACCGCGGAGACTCCTGAACTAAAAGTGGACACGCAAGAATCGTATTCTGAACTCTCTTTCCTTCGATAAAAGTGCCTTCAGTATGACTTCTCAGCCAATCAGGTAGGTTGTAAGCCACTTTTAGGCCGGTATTCATAATCGGATGTTATCTTTAAAATCGTCGTAAGTTTATCTTCAGATTCTCCGTAGTCAATGAAACGAACTGTACAGCATCTGAAGATAAACTTGAGACGGTCTTATATATAAGATCCGACTATGAATATCGGTTTTAAGCGGGGTCTACAATGAGAATTTAAGGCTTAAAGCTTTAGAAGCACTTTTATCGATAAAAATGAGTTCAGAACCTGCGCTCGAGTTTCGGGAAGCAGATTTAGCCGGGACACGAACCTACCGGGCGAACGGGTTCCCCCCGCCACCGGCAGATGGCGCCAAGCGACCAGCCGGGTGTCCCAATGGCCGAGTTCTTCATACCGTGACGTCAACAGATGACAGCAGGTAGTTCCGTTGGCGGGTCGGCCATTGTTCCAGTCTACCTCCCGCCGCGTTCAGCTGTGCACAAGAGCTGTCAGTCCCTAACAGATAGCGCCAGCATTCGGTCCCTCGGCGGCCTCCAAGGAACGGAGAGAAAAAAAACGAAAGAAAACAAAGGACAACAATACGCGCGCGGCCGAGTGCGGTGGAAAGTGGTGAAATGGTGAAGTTGGTGTGGTGTCGGTGTACGCGGAGCGAGGTGAGTAACAACATTGTTAACCGCGAACTTGATCGCGATTAACTCGTGCTCGGGGAAGGTGCCGAGGAACGGGACGATCGTCGGCGGTGCCGTGTCTCGCATGCCGTGATCCCTTTTTTCCGACAGCAACGATGTCCGAACGGAGACCTCGCTCGTACCAGGTTTTTCGCACGGAACAGTAGGTGTCTCTCTCTCTCTCTCTCACTCACTCACTCGTGACTTCTACCTGCCGACGCTCGTTTGGGTTCAACAAAACACACGATCGTCCGTTTCGAGCGATTCACGAGATCATCGTCGTCACGGTGCTCGCTCATTCGATGCGTGCGTGCGCGATCCTACGCGCGCGTGCCTCGTCGCGTCGATATCGACAGGTGTATCATAACCTCTTTTTCTCTCTCTCTCTCTTTCTCTCGGTGCCTCTCCGTTGGAACCTGCATAATTCTACGAATTGTCTCGCGACGAAAGCACACGTAGATGTGCGTGCCTACGAGGCTACAGCGGGCGCCTGCGTGTGCATGCACACGCACGCATCACACACATCACGTGTGCGCGCGCGCGTATACATGCGCGCGAGTGCGGCTTCGACGTGATTTCGACGAGACGAAGCCGCTCGGCCGATTTTTTCGTCCGCGGGTTCACTTCGTCCGGTTATCGTCGATACTCTCGTCGTTGTTCTCGAAACGACTCGGTCGTCTCGGCCGAATCCCCCTGCGTTTCCCGCTCGCCATGAAATTCATAAAACTCGCGTCGAGTAAAAACAAAAAATGCCCGCGGAGAGCGCGGTTGTAAAGAGGAAGAGAGAGGGAAAGAGAGATCGCGTTTTCCCAAACAAAATTATCCCGTTCAAGCCCGATCGTCGTTTCATTCGTCGATTGTTCGTCTCTCTCGAATTTCCGACGTGACCTTTCTCGTTTGCTTTTCGCGAAACCGAATTAATTCCCAACGATTTTCCGCGAGCTCTTAGGAATTCGAGTAGCGAGGGCAGAGTAAATCCAGTTGATTAGGTCTCCGAACGTCGGTTAGAAGGCAGGGGTGGTTTAAGGGTGACTGGTTATCACGAGACGCGCGAAAAGACCGCCGTCACGTGAACGCGCGGTTTTACCGTTGGGATTCGGCGATTGTGATTTTATATACTTAGACGTCGCGTCGAATTTCGAACGCGGCGTTTCGCCCGGCCAGATTTCGCCGCGCTCTCTTCCGAAACCGAATTAATCCTCTATCGGTCTTCCTTCCCAAACCGTGTATCGAGCGATACATTATTCAGCCCGTTTTATACGATGCTTAAAATTGCATGCGTCGCGAATGCAACATTAGCGCGTCCGCCGCTGCCCCGCTGATTTCCACGAATTGTTCGAGAGCCCGGCTAAATTTTAAATGAAATTTTCCAGTTACGGTAAACACGTACGCCCCGCGCGCGCGTATTGTTCATAGGCCGGATATTTCATTCGTCCAACGCGCCGATTCGCGCGAAAATTCATAAGACGCGCATCACGATTGCCGATTACACCGCCGCCGTGACGAGCGACGTGTTAATGACAGAAGAAGAAGGAAACGAGAAGGAACGCGGAATTGATCGCGCATCTCCCGCGCGAATCTTCCAACAGGAAGGAAGCTGCGCGTTTGCCGCGCGGTCTCCGCATTGTCTAAGATTCCACGAGCTGTCCTTCGAAGAGAGAGAGAGAGAGGTTTCTCTCTCTCTCTCTCTCTCCGTTTCGACTCTCTCTCTCTCTCTCTCTTCGCCTTTCGATATCTATCTCGTCCCCATCTCTCTCTCTTTCTGTCTCTCTCCCCCTCTTCTCCCCAGTCGGCCACGCGCGTCACCAAATTTGCACTCTGGTTTTATACTCCCCCTCGTCCCTACCACGATCCAACCTCTATTGATTGCTCTACCGCACTACTGCCCTACTTTTTATGGCTTTACCCCACCGCGTCCGATCCCTCTCCGGCCGGCAGTCCGCCCGCCACCCTCTCGCCGACGTCACGTATCACGGCCGGTGGACGCGGCGGGGTACCCTCTCCCCCCCCCCTCTAGCGGGGAAGTGCTGCTCCTGCAGGTGCGCGGAAGGTGCAGGAAGTGCAGCGTTGCTAGGCTTCCGGGGGAGTCGCCCGACGAACCCCCGAGGGTTGTCAGAGGTGCGCCGGCACCCTCGGCAGCTCCGAGGATATTTTTGGCGCGCGCATTTAGCGCGTTCTTACCGACTTGTTTTCCCCGTCGTTCCGCGCCTACCCAACACTCCGAGAGAGCAGGAGCCGTTGAATGCGATTTTCCCATTAGGAAAATTGCCGCGGAACTCGCAATCCGATCGGTCGAAATCGAACGCGAGAACGCGAATCACGCAGTCACGGCCGAACGCCGTCACAGTTCAGGAGGCGGAAAACGCGACCCCCCTCCCCCTCTCTATCCGACCGTCGAATGTACGATCACCGCGTGAGGATCGCGTCCGAGATGTGAGCCTTTCCGAAATCAAACCGTTTTGCGGAAATTTTATTGATTTTCATGCTAGATCAGGCATAGTTGACACTTTAGAATTCAGATCTTTGTTGGTGTTCATATCTCTACCTTCTGTTTTTTCCCTCTTTATCATTATTAGTGATAATTAGAGTTTGAAGTATTATTAAAGTTATTCATAAAAATGTTGAGATTATTAAATAAAATTAAGTAATATCTAGGTTCATGTCTCTATCTTTTTCTCATTCTTCCTGATACACTCTCTCTCTTTCTCTCCTCTCTCTTCCTCTCTCTTGCTTGTCTCTCTAAAATTAAGATTTCTATTAAAGTTCACATCTCTACCTTTCTCCTTTCTTTCTTATTGCTATTATTAATGGCAATGTTTAAAGATTATTAATTAAGTCTATTAATTAAGGTACTGTGGAGATTGTTAAGGATAATTAAGGTTCATATCTATTTTTCTCTTTTTCTTCCCGACTCTCTTCCTCTCGCTTGGCTTTTTAAAATTAAGATTTTTATTAAGTTCCATGTATCTATCCTTTTCTTCTTCCCTTATCATCAATGATAATCAAGGTCTTCAGATATTCTTAAAGTTATGAAATAACGTACCGTTTAGATCATTAAGGATAATTAAGGTTTATACCTCTGTCTCTTTCTCTTTCTCTCTGGCCTTCTCATTATCTTTCCCGGCCGCGAAACAAGATATATCTCCGGCTCGGTTTTTCCTTCCTATTTTCCGAGTTCCCGGCACGTACCGTGCTGCGCGCGAGGTTCAGCTCAGGGAGAGCTCGCGCGTATTGTCCGCGAATTTCGCCAATCGCGTCGTTGCGCGGAATGCACAATCTCGGTTATAAATCGCGAACCTTCCCACGGATCCGTAAATCGTCCTGTAACATTATGCATTGGCCTCGGTCTCCCACACTCTCTCTCTCTCTCTCTCTCTCTCTGTGTGTGTGTGTGTGTGTGTGTGTGTGTGTGT